GTTAACTGTTGTACATTATTCTCAACTTGGACCATGTGATTAGACAGTATTAATAAAATTAACAAAGAATGACAGAATATCAGTGATGAGTTACCACCTTGGACATTCAAATCTGGAGAGCTTATAGCTGAAAGAGGCAGGTCTGGCCTTCACTGTGTCTAGCTTTCTCATTTATAAATTGAAGTTAGTAGTGATAATATATATATCTCAGGACTGCTTGAGTTCAAACATCTTTTACCAACCTCACACACTCGAGGCGTTTGCTTAAATACACCCCCTAATCAGTTGGTTTAGTCTGTTGAGGCTGCTGTAACAAAAATGCCGTAACTTATAAACAACAGAAGTAAGTGAGAGAAGCCCAAGCTCAGGGCACCAAAGCTGTGGTATGTGATGAAGGCTCACAGTCCCTGTTCACAGTTGCTGCCTTCTCACTGAATCCTCGTGTAGTACAAGAAACAAGCCAGTTTCCTTGGGCCTCTTTTATAGTGACAGAATATGCTCTCCTCACCTCCTAGAGGTTCCTCTCCTTGATATTATTATATCGGGGAATTAGGTTTCAGCATATGAATTTAATGGGAGTACAAAGCTAGACCATAGTATTAATCCACCTCAGAAAAGGAGTTGACATGGATTTCCAAATAATTCATTAAGCATAATCTTCACACAATCTCTCGGTGCTGTCTACTGATTTTTATTTTTATTTTTTTGTCATCTAGAGGAATCAGTCTTAACTGGTTCCAGTTTACATTCATTTTACAAAACATTGTGAGCGTATATCATATGCTGATGATACAGAAGAACATGACCATGCAAAAGTCCCACCTTTGTACTTCATACATTCACATACGCTCTGTCTTGTGGTCATTAGTGCTGGTAGGGGTAATGTAGAAAGGGTGAGGACCATTGGAGAGCTAGGAATACAAGGGAAAGCCTCACAGTTTTGGACAGAGTGGAGGCGAAGTGGCATGCTAGTAAACCAGACTTCTGAAACATAACAGCCCTCATTTATATTGGTTGCTGATTTCTGTGATAGAGCCCACCTCATAAACACAACACAATTATGAAGGTCGATCGTATACCAGTTGCAGGTGGGAAACTGAGGCTAGAGGAGCTGAATAATTTGTCACATAAAAAAGGTGGTTTGTGTCCGAAGCCTCTGTTCTCGCAGGGTGGTTGTGGCTCCCCAGGATGTTTGGCGGTGTAGGAGGTGTTTGCTGCCGCCAGTAAGCAGACACCCGGGCGGGATGGGGGTTCTGCTGCACAGCCTGCAGGGCACGGCCTATGGCTCGTTTTGAAGCAGAGACTTGTCTATGCTGGAGGTATGAAACCTTCTTCACAGTGCCAGTTCTTGACCTCTGTGGTAGAGTCAGGACAGGAGGACCTCTTTTTCCTTAAATGTTAGACTGAAAGGAATTGCACTCAAATATTTGTTAGAAAATAATTTTTAATTTCCTTTGACTGTTTAATATGTCCATTGTTTGCAAAAACACACTTTTAAAAAACAGCTTTACGCTAAAATTTCTATACCATGAAAGTTATCATTTTAAGTAAACAATTAATTTTCGGAGTAAACTTATGTCGTGCAGTGATTAGCCCAATCCATTTTTAGGACATTTCATTACTTCCAGTAGTTCTGTATTCTTTAGTCCCAGACAACTGCTAATATGCTTTCTGATTCTAGATTTTGTTTTTCTAGAAATTTAACATAAACATCCTGTAATATGTGCTGTTATGCCCTAACTCAGCACATTTGTTAGTTATATTTGTGTTATTGTAGTATTTTAGTATTTAATTTCTTTTTAGTATTAAGGAATATTTATTTCTGTGACAGGATTTGCTTATCTACTCTCCAATTGGTGTATATTGTAAGTACTGTCACTGTAATCACTGTAAATATTTCTGAGTAAAGCTTTTTTTTTTTTTTTTGTGGGGTGGTGGTGAGACCAGGTTTCCTTGTGTAGCCCTGGCTGTTATGTAACTAGCTCTGTAGATGGCTTTGAACTAACACAGAGGATTTGGCTCTGCCTTTGCCTCCCCAGTACTGGGTTACACGCGCACACCGCCACCATCTGGCAAACAAGGCTTTTTTATAAATACAATTTTATTCTTAGGTACTTATATTTTAACCTTTTTGGTTTTATGAGGCAGCAAGTTGCTGTGTAGCCCAGGCTGACCTCTGAATTCTTCATCCTCCTGCCTCAGCCTTATAATACTGGAGTAGCCTTAGTTTAACTTTTTAAGAAGTTGAGATTCCAAAGTCACTATGCTGTTGTCTATTCTCAACAGTGGTTAGTTTTATTAGGACCAGTTTCCCACATTCCTGCCAACACTTGAAACTGGTTGATTTTTGCCTGAGGCTGTCAGTTTGGCTTCAAGCTTCTTCCTGTCTCTACGGTGACCTGAGCAGCTGCTGTTACAGGTGTGAACCGTGGCACCAAGTTGCAGGATGTTTTTCTTTCCATGTTTTTGGGTGTGTTACATGAGTGCATACACCTGTTCACGTGTGCTTGTGGAGGCCTAAGGTGAATGTAGGTGATGCTCTTTAGCTTGAGGCAAGGTCTTAATCAAATGCAGAGCTCACTGATAGAGCTAGTCTCACTTGCTCAGGGGCCCTGTCTCTGCCTTCTCTGAGGCTGGGATTACCGTGGGCCACCACACTCCCCTGGCATTTATGTGGGTTCTGAGGATATGCACTTAGTTATCAGGCACTCAACTGCTTTAACCACCAGGCCATCTTCCCAGGCCCAAACTTTTTGATTAAAGTTTTTCTAGTGGTTCTTGGTATGTTTTTAATTTGTAGCTTTTCGTGTGCTGTTACTTAATTTTTTTTGTATATTTTCTTTGGTGAAAAGTATTTAAATTATTTAAACAAAACTTTATTTTAATTTTATTATGCTATAAGAATTCTTGTTATTGCTGCCACTTGAGTTTGAGATAGAGGTCTCATACTTTATGGTCCAGGTTGGCCCAAGTTCTTTATCATTTTGCTGTAGCCTCCCAAGTGTTGGGATTACAGGTGTGGGCCACAATGTCCAGCAAGAGTTCTTCATATTTCCTGGATACTAGAAACTATTCCCAGAATTGAAGTTTTTATGTTAGATAAAAGGTTATTTGCCTATGTTTTCTTGTTTGTAATACTGGAGTTATAGGCCTGTCCCATACAACACCCAGCATCTGTTGAACTTTTTAAGAAATTAAGATAAATGTATTCCAAAGTCACTATCCTGTTTTATACCTCCAACAGTGGTTAGTCCATACAGACCAGTTTCCCACATTCTTGCTAACAGTTTTAACTGATGAGAGAGCCTTTGGATTTGGTGAATTGGGGATATTCTACCTACTTTGTTGTTAAATAGGAGGATTATATTATTCCACCTTGTGTATGGATGAACTTTTTCATCTAAGAAAGATTTTAAGAGAGAGCAGTTCCCAGCCTGCCATGTAGACAAGCTAACGTGTAGGCTAACGGTCCTAACTCGCTTTGGAGCCAGTTGTTGTACTCAATGTGAGCTGCTTTGACTAGAGAGTGGTATGCCATAGGGGTCAGAGTTACTAACTGGGACCCTTTCTGCTGGTGAGCATAGTAAGAGGAAGCTTTATACACTTAGTTATAATCCTAACTGTGTATTCTAGCCTCATGCATCAGAAGCAGCATTTTTGGTACATCCGTTTTCTTTCCAAAATGGCATTTTAAAAAAGGAGGCCAAAAAAAGTGAATGAAATAGATGGCAGAGCACTAGCAAACATGCAAACAATCTAGTCCCTTGGAAATGTATTATAGATAAATAATTTTCATAGGAACTAGAATATCTTTCTTATCTCTTATTACAAATTTTCAAAATAAAAATCCCATCCCCAAAAACTACGTAAAAAGAACTTTAGTGCTTTACATAATATTTGAACCAATGAAAAATAAGTTATTTATTACATTTGTCCTAGTAATAGTAAATTTAGTCATAGGTGTTGCCATATCCAGTTTATCTTTTCATATGTTAATTGCCTTTTATATTCATTATCCATGGATAGTCACAGTACAGTATATGTGTTATGATCCTTTCTAATCCAAAGGTAATAAGTATTAGGCAGCTCTAACACCTTATCAAGCAGGGTGTGTAAGGTTCCTTTAAATTACAAGTGGTAAGATGTATGTATGTCATGAGCCACTCTGCCCTCAACCATGATGTTGTACATGAAGAACAAACTTAATACCGTGATATTCGTTTTTTCTTTGTTTATGTATGTGAGCGTGTAAACACATGTTTGTGCCTTGGTGAAATTATGTACACCACATGCATGCAGGTCCTCTGGAAAGGCCAGAGTTCATCAGATCCCTTGAAACTGGAGTAAGAGGTGGTTGTGAGCCATCTGATAGGGGCATTGGGACTCCACTAAGATCCTTTGAAAAGCAGCGGCTGCCTCTAACTACCTCAGTCCTGTGGTATTCCCAAAAATACATAATTCCCTCCTCGTTATAAATTAAAAAAAAAAAAAGGAAACTTGTAATTGGAAGAGACAAAGAAGAAAGAATAAGTCTGTGTAATCTTAAAAACTTAAAAAAAAAAAAAACCCACCAGAAAATGGTTTTAAAATGTTATTTAGTAGTTTTACAACCAAATGTTTGGGTTTTGATAATTATGATGTGGTTATGTAGGACACTAGGATTAAGCCAGGCTTAGTTTATGTTCCTGTAGTGCCAACACTTAGGAGACTAAGTACAAAGAATGATGAGTTCAAAGCCAGTATGGACTATATATATATATGGCCAAATCCTGGTTCAAATATTCCTACCCTCCAGAAAGTTACTATGAGGAATCTTAGCAGCAAGTAGCTATAACTCTAGATTATTTTTGCAGTTTTTGTCTAAATCTAAAGTCATTTCTAAATATTTATTGTAGTTTTCTGGGTTTGTGAGGTTTTGTTTTGTTTTGAAATAGGGTCAAACTCACAGAGATCCTCCTGCCTTTGCCTCCCCAAGTGCTGGGATTAAAGGCATGTGCCATTATGCCACACATAAATGGTTTTTAAGTCAACATAAAGGCTGACAAGGTGGCTCCATGAGTCAAGGTGCTTGTTGCCAAGTCTAATGACCTGAGTTTAATTTCTAAAATCCATGTGGAGAGAGCCAACTGCTACAGTTTGTCCTCTGATAACTTCCATGTGACATACATGTTCATCAGGGTCCTCTACCCATATAAAAAGAATATAGAAAATGGGTAAGAATTTATATAATTGAGTGAATGCAAATCAAATAAAATAGTCCTGAGACTGGAAGGTAATTGTTTTCCTTACATGTGTAATTTTTTCCAGTCCTGTCATAATTTAGTATCTTAATTCATTAGTCATAACTACTTAGTTTTTATAATTTCTTGTGAGATATGAAAGGTAGGTTTCTTAATAAGAACTTTGGCAAAGAAACTCTTGAGTAAAAATAAATAAAGAGTTGTGAGGTTTGAGCTGGGAGATGGATGGCTCAGTAATTAGGAGCACTGGCTGCTCTTCCAGAGGACTGGGTCCAGTTCTCCAACACCCATATCACACGCAGTTCATGGCCTTCAGACCTGAAAGTGTCTTCTAACTTCTGTGGGCACTGCACACACCTGGAACACAGACGTACATGCAGGCAAGACACCCATACACATAAAGTTTTGTTTTGTTTGAAGAACATGTCTATGTAGGCCAGGAGGCCTGGAACTTGCAAATATCCTCCTTGCTAAATGCTGGGATTAAAGACAAAATTTAAATTAAAAAAAAAATGCTTTGGGTTACTGCCTAGTGTTTTATATTTCTAAAATTCCAGAGATCATTTTGATTGCAGCTTTAATACACTTATTTTACATTTTTGTTGCTTTTCTCGAAGGCTTGTTTTCTGTTAAAATAATGTTAAAAATTACCCCCCTGCTACCTAAGGTTTGCTTTCTGTTTTTTAAAGTAAATGTGATGATACATTTGTAATCCCAGCACTTGGTGGCTGAAAGCAGTTCAGTGCCTTTGTGAGCTATGTTGTGGGGCTCTGCTACAAACAGGAAATACCTGAATGCCACCTGTACATAGTTATGAAAATCTTTTTTCTTTTGTAGTTGATCATAGCCGAGTTAAGTTGACTTTGAAGACTCCGTCTCAAGATTCAGACTATATCAATGCAAATTTTATTAAGGTATGTATTAAAATGACGGGACGTTTCCCTGCTACACTAGTGCCTTTCTATACCAATTTTATTGAAGGTATTACCTGTCCAACATGGTACTAATCGGAGAATCAGTAAAAATAAAATATCTCATTTGCTTTTTTCTTCTGGCTGCCTAAGCCATGTAGATCAAACTGTGTCTATACATAATAGCAAAGGTAGTTTTCTGTGTGCTGCTTTTATGTTAAAGGCTCATAAACACTACCTGTTGGTCATTTTTAAAAAATTGGCTTTTTGAGTTTAGTTATACCTATATATTTTGTTGAACCCTATGGTAATTTCCAGTTTTTCTTGGTAATGAAATTACAGTGAACACTGTTCTTTTGAACAGTTTCTTAGGGTAAATTAATAGTGCTGAAACTACTAGGTCATACTGGTTTAAATTTGTAAGATATAACTGAAATTTTCAAAACCTTTGGTAATTGTTACAACCTAGTGCTACATATGGTGGCATATACCTGAATGTAATGCCAAAATTCAGGAGGCTGAGGGCAGAGGACTGCTATACATTCAAAGCCAGTCTGAGGTAAACAATGTGATGAATACATAGATAAGTAAATATATACATAAAAATTAAAAATAAAGTGATAGTTAACTTCTTAGATAACTTTAGTTAGCCTTGAATAAAGAGTGTTGAAGTTGTAGCTGGGTGGTAGTTGGTTGAGTTGAGATTCCTCTATGTAGCCCAGGCTGGCTTAGAACTTGAGATTCTCCAGCCTTAGCTTCCCTGGTAGTGAAAGCATAGGCTTGCCCTACTATGACCAACCTGTCATGTTTTTAATACTGTTATCAAAAAAGAGATGCAACCTTCTGTGTGACTGAGTATAAATAAAGGCTTAAATTTGTTGTATACACTATTTTATGTTTTTGAGTCTAGTTGTACAGCCATTACAGCTTTTCAATGATTTTTATATTGGCAGTCGTATATATTTTAATAGGCATTTTATTGATTATAAATGTTAGCAAGAGTGGAAGAGTTAATATTGTCTATGTAGTGTTGGACACATGGTTTCAGTTAAAGAATCTTTTAAAAAATAAACTTAGTTATTACAGTAAAACGAAATTTATGGATTAAACAAAAAAATAGGTATTGTATTTCAAATACTTCAATGTATATATTCTTTTTTATTTGTGTATTGAGTTCTAGATTTGTTTTGTTTTATTTTGTTTGTTTTTTCAAGACAGAGTTTCTCTGTGTAGCCCTGGCTGACCTGGAACTCTGCTTGCCTCTGCCTCCTGAGCGCTGGTATCAAAGGTGTGCGCCACCTTGCCCTGCAAGAGTTCTAATTTTTTACTCTACGTAGGGAACTGATTCATTTATATACCAGTTCATTTATTTTAATCAGATACTTTGTTTTATCTATTCTTAGCTTACTAATTTCAAACCTGTGTAGTAGGTTCTGCATATGTTCTCATTTTGAGTAGATTCTTAAGGTGGCCATGGAAAAACTGCTAACTAGTTTGAGGATTATTCCTAGATTCAAACTGTGCTTTTGTATTTCTGCTAGGGTTATTGGGGAGGGGGGTAGATATTGAAGTTTAGTTTTTGTTGTTTTCTGAGACAGTCCCTGTTCCATAGTCCTGGCTGTCCTATAACTGTGTAGACCAGACTGGCCTCAAATTGAAAAGATCACAGAGATCAGCTTGCCCCTGCCTCCTGAGTGCTGGAATTAAAGGCGTGCACCATTGTGCCTGGCAGTTTGTTTTTAATTCTTTGTACAATGTGAGTTTTAATTAGCAAATTTGTACACTATAGCCAGTAAATACAAAAGTACTATTGATTAGCAAAAAGCTGAAATGGATTGGGCATATTTTTGCCATGTTTTATGTTCTATGAAAGAAAATGGCTTTAGATGAAAACATTACTAATAAAATTTTAAATCCTAATGAACTGAGTTATGAAATATTCTTGATGATTATAGTAAGTGTGAAGTTTAACTTTCACCTTTTAGGGCGTCTATGGGCCAAGGGCGTATGTGGCCACCCAAGGGCCTCTGGCGAATACTGTCATAGACTTCTGGAGGATGGTATGGGAGTACAGTGTTGTGGTAAGGAACTTGTCATAGACTCTGAGATCTGTAACATGTGATGACATTAGATGTTTTACCAGGGACTAAGGCAACTTTTTAAAAATAATTATTTTTACTTTATGTTCATTGGAGTTCCGTCTGCATGTATTCCTGTGTGAGGGTGTCAGATCCCTGGAACTGAAGTTACAGTTGTGAGTTTCCATGTAGGTGCAGGGCATTGAAATCAGCTCTTCTGGAAGAGCAGTCCGTGCTCTTAACCGCTGAGCCATCTCTCCAGCCCCAAAGAATTGTCTTTGTTTGTTTGTTTGTTTTGTTTTTAATGTGTTTATTTATTTTTATTTTATGTGCATTGGTGTTTTGTTTGCATATACGTCCGTGAGGGTGTAGGGTCTCCTGGAACTGGAGTAGACACCTGTGAGCTGCCATGTGGGTGCTGGGAATTGAACCCATGTCTTCTAGAAAAGCAGTCAGTGCTCTTAACCTCTGAGCCATCTCTCCAGCCTCTTTAAGACAACTTTTTAGGTACAGTGGTTCAAGTGTAATGCCGTTTCTGGGAAAGAAAAACTAATTTTGAAGATGGTTCATTAAATTCTCACAAACTAGTTAAAATAGTGTGACTATAATTTAAATCTTGTGTGAGTCAATAACCAATGATACAGCTGCTAAATAACTTTAGAATCATTAAAAAAAGATTAATGCTTGCATAGAGCAACAAAATGATTGATAATATAGGCATGTTCCTTTTGAAGAAAATCATAAGTATAATGTCTTTAATTTATTCTTTGAAAAATTGATGCCTACCTCCATGCTTTTCTGCCATGTTTCCCCTCCCCTCCCCTTATCCAGCTCGTCCTGCATGTCCGTCCTCTGCCTCACCTTCCAGCTTCATGCCCAGCTAGCGCTGCACGTGCACACGTCAATGTGGAGCTGAAGCCTGGTGGGCCTCTCAAAGACCAGACCCTAAAGAAAACTGATTTGAAGCTGCTGAGGTGACTCAGCAGTTAAGGACTCTGCTGGTTCTTCCAGAGGACCTAGTTTTCATTCCTAGCACCTACAAGGTGGCTTTCAACCATGTATAACTCCAGTTTCAGGGACCCAGTGCCTTCTTTTGACATCTGTGGGCACTAGGCATGCATGTAGCACAGAGACATACATGCAGGCAAAAGACCCATTCATATACGTGAAATAAAAAGAAAAAACTGTTTCTGCCTCCCAAACAGACATCAGTTGTCAGCATCTCCTCAGCTAGAAGTGGGGACTCAGTGTGCTTCTCTTCTGTCATGACAAACATATCTTTTAACCTTTTTCTAGAAGTAGAATCTTTTGGGTGGTTCTTCCTAAGAAAATAGATGTAAGAACATTAACTATAAAGAGAATTTAAGGAACCTATCTCCCCACCCCGCCCCACTTCATTCATTGGAAACATATCTAAACTATTGGCATTTTAGTTCCTTTTAGCTTTTGGGAATAAAGGAAAATAGTGTGCCTTTAGGTTTGAAAGCAAGAAAATATGTGGCTTGTAGGATACTATGACCAGCCCATCTGTTGTACTGTGCATCATCATTGAAATCAACATTGGTTGTGTGGATGTGGAAACACAGTGACAAGGAGCTCTCATGAATGTTACAAGAGGTGTTCTCTGTGGCATTGCAATGCTTCTAATGCGTTGGCATCCTCCATTCTCCCTGTGAGAGAGTACTAAAAGGGGAATGGGATAACTACTTAGTGTTTGCCACCAGTTTCATTTTAAAATGAGATTTAAAGCCAGGAGTACATTTTCTGGAGAATGGAATCATTATGTTTGGATAGGAGTTTGGAATTTACAGAAGTATCCATTTGTCAAATTTGGAGAATAGTCAATTAAGATTTGTATATTTCATTGTTACATATTTTCAAGAGAAAAATACTGTATTAAACAAATATTACTGAGGTCTAGATAATATGAATGCTGAGGTATTTAGGGGAGATTATACTGATATCTACTGCATACTAAAGCATTGAAATACATTTACAAGTAAAATGGTGGAAGGATAAGTACAGGAATAGTTACAGTAAAAGTTTAATGATTATGTTCCATTTTTTCTAGAAACTCTTTCAACTTTTATATTTTAAATATAAAATGAAGCAGATAATGTAACTTACATTTAGAGGCTGTTAATTTAATATGTTCAACCTTTAGAAAGGTATATTTAAATATACTTTAATATTTAGTTAAGAGTAATAACTAAATTAGGTAAATAACCTAGCAGTCCTTTAGTACAACTCAAAAGCAAGAAATCAATAAGTTAGATTCACAGTTTAATTCAAACCAAATAAAGCATTTTAAATGAAGTCACTTATTTTTTTGTATAAAAAATATATTTCTTCTTATTTAGAAGGTGTAGTTTTGATAGTTTTTTTATCCTGTACTTATTCTTGAGACTTTATTTTTATGCGTGTTTTGTCTGCATGTGTGTTGGTGTGATACATGTGTGCATGCCTGCAGAGGTTGGAGAAGGGCAACAGATTATCTAGAACTGGAGCTACAGATCGTCCTAACCACCATGTGGGTGCTGGGGACTGAAACCAGGTCCTACGGAGAAGCAGCTAGTCTTCTTAACATCTGAACAATCTAGCCCCTATTCTATGGTTTGAACATTAAAGCTAATTTTTAAAAATATAAATAAAGTAAACTTTTGTTCAGAGTAAAAGAAATTACTGATATTTGTATTTAGTTTAAAATAAAACTTATTTTTAGCTTATTTTTTTTTCTCCCACCCCAATTCCTTTTTAGATCATCGTAATGGCCTGTCGAGAATTTGAAATGGGAAGGGTATGTATACTAGTTAACACATTGTATTTGGGGTGGGGGATAGAAATTCCTGGTCATTTATTACTTCAGTTATCCCACGTACTTAAAGGGTACTCACTTCAGTTTTGTGCTCTATTTTATATGATACATGGAACAAAATGCCCTCTAAAGCACAAACTTTTTTTCTGTATTTCAGAAGTACATTTTATAATATACTAAAAATAATAGTGTATTGTTATATATAGTTTTCAGATGTTTCATGGTATTTTCAAGTCAAATACAGTTTATTGTTTAGAAAGTAATTTTAAAATAGTAACGAAATTGAACAAATAAGCATATTATAGTAAATCTGATGATCAACGATTTAAGCTGCATATGGTATCATACATTTGTAATGCCAACACTTGGGAGGCAGAGGCAAGAAGCATGTCGCAAATTTAAGGCCAAGTTGGTTTACATAATGAGTTCCAGGCCAGCCAAATCTGTGAGACCTTGTCTCAAAAATAAATAACTAAATAAAAATAAAAGAATTTTAAATGTCATGATTAGACTTTTTGCAAAAACCAATGCCTCCCTTTCCTCTCTTTCTCTGTATGTGTACATATTTGCATACGTGTGTGTGTGTGTGTACGCACGCGTGTGCAGGTGTGTGTGAGTGTGAAAAAGCAGAGGTTAGCATCCAGCTTGTATTTGTCTCTTCCCTTGTTTCCCTCCTTCTCCTTCTTGCTTGAGATAGGGTTTCTCATTAAACTTGGAGCTTACCATATCTGCGAGAGTGGCTGGCCATTGAGCATCAGAATCTTATCTCCTCCTCACAGTGCTGGGGTTAGAGTTAAAGATGGGTACCACCACACTTGACTTTTACACGGGTGATGGAGGTTCAAACTCAAGTTCTCCTGATTGCATTAATAAACACTGTATCCACTGAACCATCTCCAGTCCCATCGCCACTATCTATTTTAGATGCTTATACTATTTTCTCTCTTTGTTTTTTTTATTATTATTGTGCATTAGTGTAAAGGTGTCAGATCTCTTGGAATTGGCCTTACAGACAGTTGTGAGCTGCCATGTGGGTGCTGGGAATTGAACCCAGGTCCTTCGGAAGAGTAGACAGTGCTCTTAACCGCTGAGCCATCTCTCCAGCCCTGTTTGTTTTAAGACAGGGTTTCCTTGGGTAGCTCTCCTGGAGCTCACTCTGTAGACCAGGCTGTCCTTGAACTGAGAGATCCACCTGCCTCTGCCTTCCTAGTGCTGGGATTAAAGGCGTGTGCACCACAACTTGGTTCATCTTGTGTTTTTCTTAAGTACTATTAAAGTATCGGATTTCTGTTTTCATTTCATTAATGAGCTCATTGTATAAGTGGTAAAAATCACTCTTACTTAGCACAATCCAACAGAAATAATAAAATTAGCACTAACAAAATGCTCCCCTTTTTTAATGACTACTTTTTATTTATTTATTTTTATGTGCATTTAGGTTTTTGCTTGCATGTATGTCTGTGTGAGGGTGTCAGATTCCCTGAAACTGGAGTTACGGTTGTGAGCTGCTATGTGGGTGCTGGGAATTGAACCAGGATCCTCTGGAAGAGCAGCCAGTCTCTTAAACTCCATGCTTCTTATACCAAGCAGTGTTCTTTCTTCTTAACTTTAAGACTCAAAATATTTGTATACAGTTACTGAACTTTTTCTGTTTATCTTTTTTGGACAACAGAAAAAGTGTGAGCGCTATTGGCCTTTGTATGGAGAAGATCCTATAACATTTGCACCATTTAAAATTTCTTGTGTAAGTACCTATTTTTATTTATTTTAAAATATTTTTAAAAATTTGTTCTTTGGGAATATTGTACACAAATACTATATATTTTGATCAGATCTATCCCTGCCCCATTTTTACAGCTCTTCAGACTCACCAGCTATGTCTTCCTCCCAACTTCATGACCTTTTAATCCTGAGTCCAATTGGTGTAAGGGCTTTCTGCTGGAGCATAGGCAAACTACCAGAGGTCACATTTCTAAAGAAAACAGACTGTCCCTTGCCCAGCAACCAAAAGTCGCCAATAACCCCTCTCCTTGGAGTAGGACTGTATATTAATCACTTAAGAGTCTCTGTATTCACCTCCATCAACTGCAAAAAAAGAAGCTTCTTTGTTGAGGGTTGAGAGTTACACTGATAAGTTTATAGAACAATAAGTATTTGGAAGGCAGTGTGTCCATTTAGCAAAATAATAGAAGTGGTTTCTCCCAGGGAATATGACACAGGTCCAGTTGACAGTGTCATGCATGAGTTCCATCTTACAGAGCACAGACCTTTGATTCAGTGAAAAGGGATCCTACAACATTCATGCTACAGTTCCATTAATAAGCATACACTGCCAGGTCAGTTATTGTAGCTCACAGAGTTCATAGCTGCGTAAGACTTTCCCCACCAATCTGCTGTCATCTTCCTGCATCATAAAAGGTAGAGAGTAGGGAGGAAGCCTCCACAGCACCTATTTTTTTTTTTAAGATTTATTTATTTGTTTTGTGGGTATGAACACTGTTTTCGTGCACAGCAGAAGAGGGAATCAGATTCCATTACAGATGGTGGAAGGCCACCATGTGGTTGATGGGAATTGAACTCAGACCCCTCTGGACCAGCCAGTGTTCTTAACCGTTGAGCCATCTCTTCAGCCCCCACAGTACCTATTTTTAATATACATTATTTAGTCAGAAAATTGCATTATAGACTGATGAACAATTAAACTGTAGTGTGCTACATACTCAGGCTATTGCAAGCCTAGGACTCAATTCCGTGTGAACTCAACAGCGATTTAACTACAAGTAAAAACTAAATTTACAAACTGAAAGCATGCTAATTAAAATAACTCCAGTATGTAACTTGATTCCTTGGCAATCACAATCTTTGAGACAGAGAAGTGAGTCTTTTCTGAGGTGTTGGTGTGGGGATGAAGAAGAGTGCCCTGGTGATCAGACAGGAAGACTGGCTGGCCGGAGTTCAGTCCTGTGTGCTGCTCCAGCAGCCGCTTAGCCTGCGTGCCAGCACACTACCCATTTGTAAGCTGTAGCCCACTAAGCTACTTGCAAATAACTTTGCTGCATTTGCAGCCAAGTCTGCCTCAAACTGACAGCGGTCTTCTCACACCAGCCTTCCACATGTTAGGGTAACAGGCATAAGTTACCATGCTGGGTTCTTGAATTTTAGTGAAAGTAAAATATACTTTCCTCTTAACAATAAATGAAAAAGTGGTTGGGCATACTGGCACATGCCTTGAATGCAGGGGAAGGAGGGAAGCAGCAGAGACACATAGGCAGATTTCTGAGTTCAAAGCCAGCCTGGTCTCCAAAAGGAATTTCAGGACAGCAAGGACTACACAGAGAAATTCGTCTCGAAAAACCAAATAATAAATAAATGAAATAATTGATAAATAAATAAAGTGATTTTCCCATGCTAGAATAATAGTGGACGTCTGTTTTTAATGAGTAGCACATAGTGTTCTTAATGACTGACCTAAACTGTCTGTGCTTACAACTAACAAGGCAAAAAGAACCTAGCAGCACACAAATGTCAGGCTTCTTTCTAATAATCTGGCTAAGAGAGAGCATCAGACTTAAAGCTGTGCATGTCTCCTACAACCGTGGTAAGAGTAACAACTAAGGGTGCTCTTCCCTCCTTCCCTCATTGCTGCTCGTGTAAGCTGAGAGGTGAGTGTTACCTAAGTCCAAAATCTAAATGTTAATTTTAGATTGTGGACTTTTAAGTATTTTGTCTAATAAATATGTGTGTGTCCCTGTGTGTGCTTTTTCATTTTAATATTTTTACTGATTTACAAGTTTTTATCTTTTTAGGAAAATGAACAAGCAAGAACAGACTACTTTATTCGAACACTTTTACTTGAATTTCAAGATGTAAGTAATTCCCATCATAGATGAAAGAGCGCCTGTCTCCATTTGTATCCTTCTTCTCCATGTCCCTCTCTTCCTGCTTCCCACTCTTGCTCTGAGTCTTTGACTTTTGCTATTATTTATTTAGTTGGTGTCTTAAGCTTGATGCTTATCAAAATGCATAGTAAAACAGTATATATCTTAGTTTACTTAGAACAACTTAAATTTTCTGTGTGGAATTTCTTCCGTGCATATAGTTTTCTTCTGTTAACAATAAGCTGAGTATAGCATTAATTATTTATTACTCACTTGTATTCACAATTTTTTAAATACAAAACTAAGTTTTCATTTAGAAGCTGTGATGTAAATGTAGCTCAGTGGTAGGGCCATTTGTTTAGCAGGCACAAAGATTCAGTCCCAGCACTAAGAAATACAAAAGTCAGTTTTCATTCAGATATAAATTATGTTTACTTCAAGCTGTTGACTTAAATGTTTCAGAGCCAATCAAAGTGGTAAGTTTTCAGGGAAGAAACCAAAGACATGTATAAAAGGACACTGGAAAATACTTGTCGACTTTTTTCTCATCTGTTTTTATTAGTCCAACTTAGTCATGAAATATGTCATTCTTCCCAATTCACGTGTAAGCCTTCCTACTTCCTTTTGACAATCTATGTTTATTCTTCTCCCTAACTGTACTAATCATATTCCTTAGGTTGAGTCATTTATTATACCCAGGTTGCATGTTTTATCTCTAGTTAGTACCTTAATGTCTGCAAGTGTGTTAGATAGCTCAGTGATCCTAACCATGAAAGTGGTGGCACATACCTTTAATCCCAGCACTCGGAGCAGAGGCCAGCCTGCTATACAAAGCAGGCCCAGGATAGCCAGGGCTACAGAGAAACCTGTCTCAACCCCCGTCCCCCACACCCCTGGGTCCAAAAAAAGAGTGTGTTACACATAGACATAGATAAAGGGGGTTTGAGAAGTTCAGTAACTTGCCTATTTCCTAAGTGACAGCTCGAACACTGGGGCTGACTCCTAAGTTCTGTTCTTTCTGTTGACTATTTCTATCTAGAATAATCAGTCTTAAAAGTTGGGGGGGGGGGTGCTGTTCATTGGTTAAGAGCCTTTGCTGCTCTTGCAGAGGACCCAGGTTAGTTTCCATATAGCTCTAGTGGCTAACAACTCTAACTCCACTTTCAGAAGATCCAAAGCCCTCTTGACCTCCATGGGCATGAGGCACATACACAATACAAATATGTACATGCACTCATACTCATAAATGAAAATACTTTTAGAGTAACTGAGGCTTCTTTGGATCTTTGATTTATGTGGGCCATCTCTTTCAGTGTTTACTATAAAATTAAATTTTGGAAAAAGTTTAAAAGCATGGAATACATAAGCATATATTACATTAGCTGGTTAAAGTAAAGGAAAGTGAGCTGGGCACAGTGGCGCACGCCTGTAATCCCGGTACTCTGGGAGGCAGGCAGGCACCTCTGTGAGTTGGAGGCCAGCCTGGTCTACAAAGTGAGTCCAGGACAGCCAAGGCTACACAGAGACACCCTGTCTCTGGGAGAAAAAAAAGAAAATCTTAGCATTATTTTGAAAATAAACCTCCCCCATTTCTATCTCTGTTGCCCCCAAAGGGTTAAGAGGAAGTAGACAGTTCCCACAATAGTGAGGAAATGGATTTGGAGTTGGACATTATTCTAAGTTCTTTTTCAGTATATTCTTTTGTTTTTCTACCTCTAATGAATTATAAAAATAATAACACCATCAACTTTGTAGTGTGGATTAAAGAATATGTTATGTAATATAATGGTTACAGAGCGTGTTGTCTATGTTAACATGCTTGAGTTAGAGCTTGCATTTGTTATGTTCTATAAAACATTGGGTAAGTTAATATGGCTAAATTTCCTCATATAAAATAATGATGGTGTGAATGTCACCTTCCTTGTGGAAGCTGTGAAATTCATGTTAAGTCAATAAATAAAGGCTATTGTTTGATTTTTTTTAAAGGTATCGTAGAAATGATTAAATGCATAGCTTGAAAGTTTGTAAGTACATTATTCTAATTACTGAATTTCTGTTTTTTTTTTTTTTTTTTGAAGGAATCCCGTCGGCTCTATCAGTTTCATTATGTGAACTGGCCAGACCATGATGTTCCTTCGTCATTTGATTCTATTCTGGACATGATAAGCTTAATGAGGAAATACCAAGAGCATGAAGATGTGCCTATTTGTATTCACTGCAGGTACAAAATAATTTTCTAAATGTAGAGAAGTACAGTGCTCAAGTTTGCTGTGAAATAGTTTTATTTCTTCATTAATGTAATATATTATATCTTGAGCATTTCCTAGCCCTGTTACAGTATATTTGAGAATGAGACCCTGTGAATTTATATACGCTAATCTGGTTAATAGACTATCTAGATGTTACAGTGAAATATCATCATATTCCCTGATATGATCAATGTCAGGCAAATTTTCATGAATGATATAATCTCAGACTTTAAAAAAAATGTTAATAGATATAAATGGTCTTATTGATCTGAGATGCCATTGGTCTCCAGACAAGTGCTGGGTGTGGTGAACATGCCTGTAATCTCAAAACCAAGGAGGCTGAAACAGGAGCTCAAAGAGTAAGGCCAGTCAGGGGTACCTACCTAGCAAGACTATGTCAAAACAAACCAAAAAACAGGAAGGCAGGAGAGAAAGGGGAAACATCATTATCTTACACATATTAAACGTTGAACATTTGAAAGCAAAATCCATTGCCAGTTACACAGCAAAGATGTCATTTGTAAGAGATACCTCAATATCAGAGCTCATACATTGTAGTTTATAAGGTGTTTCCCAAGTGACAAGAATTCAGTGCTTCTTCCTGAGGAACAAGCTTCCATATCTGTACCGCTGCCTGTCGTACATGAAATTATAGTTGAAACTGCTGAAATATTTTTTAATTTTATGTACATTGGTGTTCTGCCTGCATGTATGCCTTTGATCCCCTAGAACTGGAATTACAGACAGTTGTGAGCTGCCATGCAGGTGCTGGGAATTGAACCCTACCTCTTTGGAAGAGTAACAAGTGCTCCTAACTGCTGAAATCTTAAGCAGGCAGGAAATTAATATTCTTGTTTGTTTGTTTGTTTGTTTGTTTTGTTCTTTTGAGGAATTATGAAAAGTGGTGTTTACTTATAGCTAAATACGCTAATTCCCCAAGTTTTTTTAGGATTAAAAGTATGTCTTCTGTAGGCCAGGTTGGCATCAGACTTTTATATAGCTAAGGCTTTCCTCCTTGCCTCCGGTGCCCTGCTTGGATTATAGGTGTATCCCATGATACCTGGCCTAGCATTTTTGTAGTAAATTAAATATAAACGTTGGTCTGTGTTTCCTGGACAGCCTTATTAAATTGTGCTGTAAAGCTAAATAATGTAAAACTAAATAATGGTCTACCCCCTTGGCAGCCTTAAGTTCAGCTATATTGGTATTAAACTGCTCCATAGAAATGTTTTCACTCTTTTCAGGAAATATTTAAATGTCAATTATTCTTTGCAAAGTTAGTCATTTTGACATGTAAGAAACCACATAAACCCAGCCTTTGACTTTGGGGCAGTAACTGTGACATTTGGTTATTCCTGAAGGGGTAACCAATTTTGTGTTCCAAGTGTGGGTTAGAGGTTAATTATGTTAAATTAGGTAACTGGCTGTTTTTACTTGACACATTGAGCTATTTTTATTGTCTGATTTTTCTTCTACTTAAAAGCCATGAAATTTTTAAAACAAAAAACAAAGAAACATTCCAGTTATGAGAAAGATGGCCTTAATTTGTCCTTGTCTAGAAAACTAAAAACATGTGCCTAAGCATTTATGTGATTTTTATATCTCTAAATATAATGACTCTTTTGTTCCCTGTCTTACCTGACAGTCTTTCTATTCCAGTTGACTCCAGATTATTTATAATAGAACTTTTTGCTTTGCTGCAACCCTTTTTAAAAAGGTTTTTTTAAATGTGTGGCTCCTGTAGATGACTAACCCTTTTTGTTGTTGTTGTTGTTGTTTGTTTTTTAAAGTTAGAGTCTCAGTAGCCTAGGTGAGCCTTAAACTTTTACCTCCCTCCCCCCATGCTGGAATGCTGAGCAAGGATGAACCACCATACCCAACTAGGTTTTAATTTAAAAGTGAACAAGGACTTGTTAAAGTGGCTCATGCCTATAATCTCACTACTACTTAAAGACATGGTATGGAGAACTGTATGAGATAAAAGGCCAGCCTTGGCTGTAGAGTGAGACTGTGTCTCAAAATAAGGAGGAGGGTGGGGGAGAAGAAGAGCAGCAACAAAACCCCTAAACAAGTAAACTGACAAAAAAACAGGGATACAGCAAAAGAAAATACTAAGCAGTGTATTGAACAAAGAAAAAATAGTTAGCACTTGTATTGTTAGTTTTTTTTTTTTTTTTCTGTTGCTGTCATAAACTTCCATAACCCAAAACAATATAAGGAAGAAAGGGTTTGTTTTAGCTTACAGTTTCAGAGGGATAGTGTACATAATGTTGAGGAAGACGTGACAGCAGTATCAGGAAGGAAGGCAAGACTGTAAACCCTCACACCCTTCGCCAGTAATATCCTTCTTCCAGAAGGGTCTATTTCTAAAGGTTCCATATTACACCAACCGTCTGAAGTTAGCACTTCAGAGGGGATCAAGTGTTCAAGTAGATGAGTGTTTTTAAGTTCGACATATATAGTGTCTATAAAAATGCTAGGGAGACTACAACTCTAAAAAGAATGTTGAATCAATCATGAAAAAAATATGTTTATAGTAGTTTTGCAGTATAGTCATGATTATATTGTTCAGTAACGTGTAGGATATTTCAAAACCAAATCTTAGACTTTCATGAGATAAATCTATATATTTTCAAATACTATAAAACTTATTTTACTCCTGAGACAAGTTTTTTCTATCTTAATCTTTCAAAAGACTGTAGATTCATTGTGTTTCAAAATCACACTAAGTGATTTTGTCCTGCTAAGTTATTTGTAATTGAATTTATTATAAGAAGTAAATAAAGGAAACTTAGCATGGTCTTGCATGCCAGTAATTCCAGCATCTGGACACTGAAGCAGGAGGATTATTGAGTAAGAGACCAACTTGAGCTCCCTAGGCCCTGTCTCAGAAAGAGGGAAAAGGAGAGAGAAAGAAAAGTCAGCAGGTAAAAGCACTCACTGCCTTTCCAGAGGAACCAGGTTCAATTCCAGGCACCCACATGGCAGCTCACAATTCCAGTTTCAGGGGACTAGACACCCTCTTCTGGTTTCCCTGGGCACCAAGTGTCCGTGCATGTGGTTCACAGACATACATAGAGACAAAACACTCATGCATGTAAAATAGGGTTTTTTTAAGTAAATGAAATTTTTCAGACATAAGAGATTATTGGTTAACTACTTTTTGTTTGTTTGTTTGGTTGGTTGGTTTTTTTGAGACAGGGTGTCTCTATGTAGCCTTGGCTGTCTCAGACTGGTTCTGTAGATCAGGCTGGCCTCTCAAAGAGATCGACCTGCCTCTGCCACCCACAGGCTGGGATTAAAGCCATGTGCACCACAGCCAGCGCTGATTAATTTTTTTAAACACTTATTTATGTTGACATTTTCTTAGCCAACTGGTGTCTTGTGGTTACTGAAAAGGGCTACTTTTTGCCTCTAGGAGAAGTGGTTTGCTGGTATAGAAACCATATAGGAAATGTCTAATGAATTCATGAATTAAAGCAAACTAAAATTTGTGAATTAAGGTTAATTCAGTGGTGATTAAAAAGGAAAACTTTCATTCTGGAATTGAAAGATAAAGAAATTGTTTTGACTTTCTTTTTTTTTTTTTTTTTTTTTTTTTTTTTTACAAGTTATTTGAAATTCTTTCCTGTTCTGTTATGGTATTCAGTCAGTAACTATAATTCATAAGTCTATTTCAATAGTGTTTCTCTAGTTTTAAAAATTATTTGCAGGGCAGTGGTAGCACATACCTTTAATACCAGCACTTGGAAGTGCTGTGGATCCCTGAGTTCAGGGACAGCCAGAGCTACACAGAGAAACCCTGTCTTGGGGAAGAAAAAAACAAAACAAAACAAAAACATGATTTTTTAAATCTTTTAAACAATAAAAACAAGTTGTTAACTGAAGTAACTTAAAAAGCACATCTACAAAAGGAAAGCAGGTATGTCCATTCGAGATGAAGTGTGTTTCTTTGAAGACAAGATGTTAAAACCTATCCCAAGCTAGCTGGGAGCTGGACTGGCCCTGAGGAAGCCTCTGAATCTCTCTGTCAGCACACGCAGCTCTAGGGGGCATTTTACAAGCCTGTTCCCATTTAATTAGCACACCACCTTTACAGTCCAACTCCAACTGTTCTTCAGGAGATGGTGGTGACCAGCTGTCTTTGTTCATGGGGTAGGAGCTGCTCAAGTCACTGCTGGCTCTAAAACTGACTCCTAGGGCTTGTAGCTTTCTTTTTCCCATACCTGTTACAATTTACTAGTCCCGCTTTGCCAAAACATAAAACCATCCTTAGTATTATATTATGCTTTTAACTAGTGAGAATAATTTTATTTCTAGGGGCTATTACTGGCCAGAATTAGACTTACAGAGTTAAACATTTACAGGTTTTTCTGTGAGTCACTAATTCTTAGAAATTCCTTGAATTAAAAATTTAAATATTCAAATATTAATGTTAAGAGTGGTGCTGTATTTGTATTTTAATTTGTTTACTAATTAGAATTTCTTCAAGTATCTTAAATGATTTTTTTTTTTTTTTTTTTTTTTTTGCTTCTGAATGGTAACAGTTGTTTTATTTTTTTTTAAAAAATTAACTGATTTCGGGCTGGAGACATGGCTCAGAGGTTGAGAGCACTGCTTGCTGTTCCAGAGGTCCTGAGTTCAATTCCCAGCAACCACATGGTGGCTCACAACCATCTAGAATGAGATCTGGTGCCCTCTCCTGGCATGCAGGGGTACATGCAGGCAGAACATTGTGTACATAATAAAATAAACAAATCTTTAAAAAAAAAATTTAAACTGATTTCTTTCTCAAACTTTGTACCCTTAGTGCAGGCTGCGGAAGAACGGGAGCTATCTGTGCCATAGATTACACGTGGAACTTACTAAAGGCCGGGGTGAGTGTGCTTTTTATATAGCTTTATGGTTGCGTTATTGTCAGCGTCACATGAATATGAACTGTTAAAACCACAGTGTGTTTTCTTAGATATATCCCAGAATGAGTTTTACCGTGCAAGTGAAGGTAGTGAGGAAGTGCAAATGCTAGGTGCTGCCTTGAGGTTCTCAACTGGATGGACACCAGGGTAGGAGTTGGTTTTCCATTGAAAACCACTTCCATCCGGGGTGTGGCTCTCTGTGGACCATTCAGATAAAGATTCTCACAAGTCAGCGCGTGCATGCCTCCTTCCTCTCTTCTTTGTCCTGCCGTCTGCTACCTATATTGCTTTTTTTTTTGAAACAGGGTTTCTCTGTGTACCCTGGGCTGATCTTGAACTCACAGAGATCCGCCTGCTTCTGTTCCCCAGTGCTGGGATTAAGGGTGTGTGCCACCACTGCCTGGCTAATAAATATTTTTAAACTCCAAAATTAAAACTTGGAAGAGATATTTAAATAAATTCCAGCAAACAAAATTTGGAAAAAATCAAAATATTTAAATATCTCTTGAAGCATCAGTAAAGTTGTATATTTCAGTTGTAGTCCTCACTTAATTGAATTTGTCTTAACGTTGCCTGGTGTCGTGGCGCACACCTGTGATCCCAGGACGGGAGGCAGAGGTGGGCAGATCTCTGTAAGTTCGAGGCCAGCCTGGTCTATAAAGCAAGTCCAGGACAGCCAAGGACAGAGGACAGAGAAACCCTGTCTTGGGGGGAAAAAAAAGAATTTACCTTAAAGTAACTACAACATAGGCCTTAGCTGGAACTGGGTATATGGGTATATACATCCTTTAATGTCTATAGACTCCGAAGCTCTAAACCTGAAAATCATTCTTCAGTCATCGGTCTTTCTCATGGCTCTAAGACGTTTTTTTATTAGGCACCAAATTCTATCACGTCTTTCCTGTTCAGACTGCCATGTTTCCTGAAGTAGAAGTTGGCAGAGTACAAATGTACCTCAAGATGGTAGTCTCAGTTTGAAACGTACAAGGGGTTGTCCAGGTGGTTTTACAGCACCGCCTGGAGAGAAGCTTACGGATCTCTCTTTTAGTTCTTTGGGTTGTTTCTTGCACGGCCATGTCTTAAGACCACAGTGGCCTTAGAGAGTAGAGTCACATTCCTTATTAATGCGTATAGTGTGATTCAGGTGACCTTCTCCTAGGCTTCATCTATCTTCCGTTTCTTACTTCTTCAGTAATCAGTCTCCTTCATTCACACAGAGTAAACTTTGTCTCAGATGTGTGTGTTCACGTGCACGTGTGTAAGTTGTGTGTGTGTGCACTCGCCTGGGCGGCTAGAGGTGGACTTTGACTCTCTATCTTCCTGGCTCATTGGCCATCAGATTGTTCAGGTTGCTGTTTCTCGGCAAACTAGAAACTCCCCGAGTTAGGTAGCGCTCCCCAACACTGTGCACGCCTGGTGTTTCTGTGGGTTCTGAGGAGCCGCGCCAGGTCCTCCTACTTCCTTGAGCACCTCCTGACTGTGCCATCTCCTCGGCCCCTTTGTAACTGTCCCATCGCTCCTCCAGCCATCATAGTTTGTCCCAGCCTGTTTCCTGTATGCCCTGGTTGTGCTCTGCAGTGTGACCGCAGAGGATCGGTGAGCACTCTCCGGGTGCCATCCCCAACTGACACGCAGTGCGCGATAAATACTTGCAGTTATCCAGCCCATGCCTGAGGTCTGTGTAAAAACTCGGTGAGTATTTTACTGTTTTCTGACATTGTTACATATGTTGATTTTTTTTGTTTTAGAAAATTCCAGAGGAATTTAACGTGTTTAATTTAATACAAGAAATGAGAACACAAAGGCACTCTGCAGTACAAACAAAGGTATTGTTGATTTTTTTCTCTTTATAAATTATATTTTCATAAATGTTTCCTTTGGTGTTTTTCATTATCTCCTGTTTATCATTTCTCTTTCTAATAGGAGCAATATGAGCTTGTTCATAGAGCCATTGCCCAACTGTTTGAAAAACAGCTACAACTGTATGAAATTCATGGAGCACAGAAAATCACTGATGGTGTAAGGATTCTTTGCTCAATAGCTTTGGCAAGCTTACTTTACCAAGATTTAGCATTTGTAATCTTGTTTAGAGCTGTGTAAGAATGTCTGCAACAGGAGTTTTGGGGTTTTTGTTGTTGTTGTTGTTCTGGGTTTTTGAGATAGGGTTTTTCTATAACCTTGGTTGTCCTGGAACTTACTCTGTAGACCAGGCTGGCCTGGAACTCACAGAGATACCTGCCTGCTTCTACATTTGGAGTGCTGGAATTAAAGGTGTATACCACCACACCTGACTAATAGGGATACTTTTATCTGGCATAGGTTTTATTAAATTCACCTAACTTTTACTCTGTTATAATAGAGACTTAGTAACTCAAGACAAACTGAATAATCTAAGTAAAATTTTTAAAAGATCTTATGTCAGCAACTATTCATTATTGTTTCGAATATAAACTACCGTTTTTGTTTTTGAGGCAGGATTTCCCTGTGTAGCCTTGGGAGTCTGCTTGAATTTTCTTTTGGCATGATAGTATAACATTTTGTAGTTATTTTCATACCCTCCATGCTTTGATGTGTTGTGGGACAATCATGCTATGTAGCCTAAGCTGTTTGAGGTTCTCTTGCCTCAGCCTCTTAACATGTATGTAGACATACATCACCATGCCCAATGTATTATATGTGCCTTTATCAGTAAGTCCCTTTTTTGTCATGTTGTAATTCATAACCATTTTATCCTTAAATGATCTTACTGAATCTTCAGGGTTTTGGGTTTTTTTTTTTATTTTTATTTTTTTTATTTTTTTATTTTTTATTAGGGGTTATATGTGTGTTTGCATGTACAAATCATGCTGTAGGGGTGGGGATACATACCAGAGCATGTGTATGAAGGTCATAGACAACTTTATGGGTTCAGTTCTCTCGTGTGTCAATCAAGGACAATTGTTTTTCCTGTAATTTTCCCCCTGGCAGAATGATATTACCACTGGAAATCTGGTCAGCTCTGTGGATAGTGAAAAACAAGATTCTCCTCCTCCAAAGCCACCAAGGACTCGAAGGTATGAGTGTTTTTAACTTTTCTGACCTACCTAACTAAAGTGACAAATTGTGATTATCTTAGTTTTAAAACTGGTATTTCATTTAAGATGTAGAACATTTGCCAGTTATTTGTTACTGATATGCTCAAGTTTTTGTTTGAATTTTGTATGTCAATAGTGCATTGTACCAGAATTCATACTTTGGTGTTAGAATAAGAAGTATTTCCTTAGCTTTCTTTAAAGTAGTTTCTCTTAGGATAGGAGAACTTTCTGGAACCAGGAAGTCAGAGAACAGTTCATGTTTCAAGAAGCTACCTGTCTTGGCCAAGGCTTACTGCAGGTTTATTATATTACTGATGTAGCAGGTTGAGCATAAGATCTCTGAAATTCTGGGTATAACACAAAGGCAAAAAAGAAAGACTGGAAAACAGTGATGTAGAGACCATAAAGGAAAAAGGATTTTATTTGTTTTGTCTTGATTTGGTTTAACAGTGCTGGGAAAGGAACACAGAGTGCTTTCTGCATGTGAGACAAGCATTCTACCACTAGGCCACATACCCAGCCCCTGAGGGAATATTTTGTATGGCAAAAAATAGCATGAATGTCAACTCCCAGCAGAGTGCTGCCTGGGAAAATGAACTAGACTTTCAAACCTGTGTGTAAAGTGAAGAGCATTTGTGAAAGTCAAACAAGGGTTGTGGTTTGTTCATGTCAAAGCATTTAGAGCCATCTAGTTTGAGAAGCCCACAGACAGCATAGAATGTATTGGAACACATTCACTTAGGAACTTGAGAAAAATAGCAAGTAGAAAATTGGATGATGTTGGAGATAAAAATCTACATTGAAGAAACTGAGGCAGATTTGAGGATAGCTGCAAAGGGTAGCCTGGGCTACATGGCAGGTTTTTATGTTATGTTTTATTTTATTTTTTTAAGACTTGTTTGATTGTATGTGTGTGCATGTAAATCTCTGTGTGTAAACAGGTGGCAGCAGATCCTCTAGAACTGGAGTACAGGTGTTTGTAAGCAGTTGTGGGTGCTGGGAATCAAACTCTGGGCCTCTGAAAAAGCAACAGTGTTTTTAAACACTTAGCCATCTCACCAGCCTCAAGTTTTTAACTTTTTAAAAGACAGTTGTATTCAATTCAAATAAGTTGTCTTAAAGAGATTTATTTCTTGATTAGTAAACAGTTAAAACTAGAATTTTAAATAGAGATTTATTATTTTGGTTAATAAAAAAATTAAGGTTTCATGGTTGGAAAATTATGTATATCATTTAGCTTTTAAACAATATTTAAGGTACTTTCTGAAAATTTAAAACACCAAAATATTTGTTTCTAAAACTGATTGTATGTGAAAGTGCATGTGGATTCATTAAAAGCTAGAAATATCAAAGAAAAATGGAGGAAAATGATGAGAGAACCAACCATTTAAAAATTATAGTGTGTTTCAGACCAGTCCTTGGAAGGGAAAGGCAGAAAGATGAGAAGTTCAAGGCCAGGCCTGTCAGATGGTTCAGTGTGTGAGTCAGTGACAGGGGACCGGAAGACCTGAATTCAATTCCCAGTGGGAAGAGAATCAGCTCCTGAAAGCTGTCTCTGACGGCCACTGGGGTACAAGCTTACCCACACATTCACATCAGACACACTAATAGTGAACAAAATATTGTTCAGGTCCATTCTCAACGACAGCCTGGTCTTCACAAGACTGCATTTAATAAGATAAATAATATTTTGTTTCCACTAGTTAAAAAAAGAAAAATATCAGGGCTGGGTGGGGTGTGGCTCAGTGATTAAAGTGCATGCTATACAAGTGTGAGAACCTGAATTTGGCTCCCCTGCACTTAAGGCAAAAGTTTGGCATGGTGGCACCTACCTTAACCCCACCATTAGAAGGAGGGAGAGATAGAAATAGGCAGATCCCAGGAGCTCAGTGTCCAACCAAAAAGGCAAGCTCCAGCTTTAGTGAGAAAGCCTGTCCCCAAAAAGAAGGGAGAGCATGATAGAAAATACCTGAACTTGACCTCTGACCTTTACAGAAGCCTAAATAAGCAGCTGCACCCATACACCCTCATATGTACGTATTACCAATTCATGGGTTTGGGTAGACCACTGATGAGTAGATGTAGTTAAGAATTTGGCGAGGCTTGGTAGTGTGTGCCTTTAAACCCTACACTTGGGAGGCAGAGACAGGTGGGTCTTTGATTTCAAGGCCATCCTAGTCTATTGACTAGGGGCAGCCAGGACCACACAGAGAAACTCAAAGACTACTGTGAAAACAAGACGTTATAGAATGAAAGAGAGCATGGTGTGAAAGAGAGAGTAAGTGTGAATAATACTGATGGTCATAGATCGAGCTAAACAGAAGTGTAAGAGTATTGGAAAGCTAGAATAGGAGATGATTCCAAAGTAGGAAGTATAGTGTTTAAAACAAAAGGATCAAGAAACAATACCAGTGTCAACATTTTAAAATATTGAGGTATATATTTAGAAGTAGCTGTAAAATTTGTCTTGTTCTTTTTTTCCAATATGTAGTTCTGGCTGTCCTAGAACTAGTTTTGTAGACCACACTGGCCTCACAGTCACAGTTACCCATCTGCCTCTGCCTTCCAAGTGGTGGGAATAATGATGTATGTCTTCACACACCTGTGAAAAAGTTTCGGTTACTATAGAAGGGGAGGGGGGAACTGCTGGTTTTCATTAACATCACATGACTTTAAAACACTACATCTGTGTTACCTTGGTAAATATTGAATTTTCTTAGTCTCACAAATAGAATGTTATAACCATACTGTAATCAGTCAACTTACTTGTAAATGTTAAACATTCTTAGAATCTTGCTTGTTGCTTTACAGTTGCCTTGTAGAAGGGGATGCCAAGGAGGAAATACTACAGCCACCAGAACCTCACCCGGTGCCACCCATCTTGACACCCTCTCCCCCGTCAGCCTTTCCAACTGTTACTACTGTGTGGCAAGACAATGACAGATACCACCCAAAGCCAGTGTTGCACATGGTTTCATCAGAACAGCATTCAACAGACCTCAACAGAAATTACAATAAATCAGACCTCACAGGGAAAAATGAATCAGCTGTTGAACACATAGATAAAAAATTAGAGCGAAATTTAAGTTTTGAGATCAAGAAAGTCCCTCTCCAAGAAGGACCCAAAAGTTTTGATGGGAACACACTTTTAAATAGGGGACATGCGATTAAAATTAAATCTGCCTCTTCTGTAGTTGACAAAACCTCTAAGCCACAGGAGTTAAGTTCAGATGATCTAAAAGTTGATGATGTTTCTCAGAATTCTTGTGCAGACTGCAGTGCGGCACACTCAGACAGTGCTCCTGATTCTTCTGAAGAATCCCAGAACTCACACACACCACCACGGCCAGACCGCTTGCCTCTTGATAAGAAAGGACATGTCACATGGTCATTTCACGGACCTGAGAACGCCACGCCTGTATCCGACTCATCTGAAGGCAAATCCCCAGATAACCATTCTCAAACTATAAAAACTGTGAGCTCAACACCCAATTCTGCAACAGAAGAGGAGACCCAGGATCTTGTGGATCACCATAACGGCTCCCCTCTGAAAGCGCCGCTCAGCTTTACCAATCCCCTTCACTCTGATGACTCAGACTCAGATGAAAGGAACTCTGATGGTGCTGTGACCAAGAACAAAACTAGCATTTCAACAGCAAGTGCCACAGTTTCTGCTGCCAGTAGCACTGAAAGTGCTTCCACTAGGAAAGTGTTGCCAATGTCCATTGCTAGACAGGAGGTGGCAGGAATGCTGCATTCAGGTGCTGAAAAAGGTAATATGGTATCGGACTTCTGGTTCCCCTTATTATCTGCCCATCTCTGTTCTGAGCAGTTTAGCTCTTTCAGTTCATTATGACTTACTCCACATCATACTTGAACCTGCAGCAAAATCTAGTTTTAAATAACTTTGGGGTTTTTTGTTTTGTTTTGTTTTGTTTTTTTGAGACAGGGTTTCTCTGTGTAACACTGGCTGTCTTGGAACTCACTCTTGTAGACCAGGCTGGCCTCAAATTCAGAGATCCAGCTCCCTCTGCCTCATGAGTGTTGGGATAATGACTGTCCAGCAGATGACATTTTTTTTTTTAAAGATTCAGATTCAAAGTCATGTTATTTTCTTTTCTCCATCTAATCTAAATGTCTATAATTAGCAGGGTTTTTTTTTTCTAAATATGTACAACTTCATTTATATCTCCACATTTAAATTAGTATTTTTAAATATTTATTTATATTGTATATATGAGTGCTCTGTTTACATGTATGGCTTCATGCCAGAAGAGGGCATCAGATCCCATTACAAATGATTATGATCCACCATGTGGTTGCTAGGGCTTGAACTCAGGACCTCTGAAAGAGCAGCCAGTGCTCTTAACTGCTGAACCATCTCTCCAGCCCCTAGTATTTTTTTTTCCTTTGCTCATATATTATAGCTCAACCACAGTTTATCCTCCCTCCCCTTTCCCCCACCTTCCCTCTCCCCCAGATTCACCCACCTACACACAAAAAAAAGTTTATATCTAAGGGATATCAACTAAACATGGTATAACAAGGTACAGTAAGACCAAGCGCATACTGTCACATCAGGCCGGCCCATTGGGAGGAAAAGGGTCCCACAAGTAGGCAAAAGAGTCAGGGACAGCCTGCTGTCCTTACTTTTTAACATTTATATTTATTGTTACCATACTTTGATCATTATGGGTGGACTTTGTTTTTCACAGAATCATTGTAACTAGAAGATTGCTTTGTTCTTGTTTTGTATCACTTAGTGCTTTATGTAAGTCAGATTTCTCTGACTAATTAGAAATTAGTGTAAAATAATTTGAAGAATCGGTGATACAAATACTGTAGAATACATCTTAATCATTTCATTTCACCTGTGCTTCCTGTAAATACTTGGTAGTCATTTTTTCCTATCTGACTACAAGATAACTTTTCAAAGAACTCTCTTAACAAATGCTTACAATAAAGTTACTCTCTAGTGGTAAGTTAACCCATAAGTTACTCCGCTGACTAGAGGCAGTTTAATTCACTCGGAGCTCAGCAGGTGTGTATATCACTGTTAGGCAGTTTGCCATGTCAAGGTGATGCATGCACTCTCTGAGATGTATAATTTTTCAGCAGGGTTTCTTTATGTAGTTCAGGCTGGCCTGGAACGCAGGTCCTCCAGACTCTACCTCCCTTGCACTGGGAGTCAAGTCTGATTCACCATGCCTGCTATCTAGCATTAAAATTTTTATGGTGCCTTCCCTCTTGCTTTGTTTTTGAGACAAGGGCCTGGAATTTCATTTCTGTCTCAATCTTCTGTGCTCTGAGATATCCAGGAATTTACTACCATAACTGTCACAAGTAGAGTTATTTTTTAGGGCCAGAGAAGATGGCTCAATTATCAAGAGCACTGGCTGTTCTTCCAGAGGCCTGGGGTTCAATTCCCAGCACCCACGTGGCAGCTCACAACTGTCTATTACACTAGTTTGAGGGGATCAGACACCCTCACACAGACATACTTACAGGCAAAACGCCAATGTGAATAAAATAGAAATAAGATTTTTTTTAAAAGATTTATTTACTTATTTATAGTGTTCTGCCTGCGTGTATGCCTGCAGGCCAGAAGAGGGCAGCAGCTCTCATTCGAGATGGCTGTGAGCCACCATGTGGCTGCTGGGAATTGAACTCAGGACCTCTGGAAGAGCAGCTAGTGCTCTTAACCTCTGAGCCATCTCTCCCGCCCCCAAAATAAGTTTTTTTAGTAGAGTTTTTTTAATTGTTTCTAATCATTTCTAATCACTTACCTTGTAGTTTATATCATGTATTGTTTATTTCATACTTGATTTATTACTTACTTTGAAAAATAATGGACACAAAAATTTTGTATTAGAATTTGTTAGTGAATTAACCCAATAATTTTGTATTGATAACAAAAAATAGTATTTTGTATAAGTTACTGCCTGATAAAATTTCTCAATGTGAATTCTTTCATTAGTTCTTTTTTTTTTCCTTTCCGTGTACCAGGGCCTATACATGTATTACCTTAGGCCTGAAATTTTACTCAGTTTTGGCCACAGTTGTCCCCACACACTGTGTGATGTGCAGAAGCCTTTGTAAAACAAGGCAGTCTGTAGTTGTGTAATGGGGTGGGGGCACTGGGAATTAGTCTTGGGTCTCTTACATGCTGCGTGAGTGCTCTAGCCTAGAGCTGTAGCCACAGTCATGACTATGTAATCTTTACAGAAAGCTTGTAGTGTGCAAAAGGCCATTTAGAGATCCAAGGAGAAGCATGCAGTTGAAAAGCAAGGAATTAGAAAATAGAATTCTTGACAAGTGTTGATCATTAAGAAAGAAAAGGTTAACAGTGTGCAGAACTTACTGCCACTGTCGTGTGTCCTTCCTTGAAATAACCATTTCTTTACTGTAATAGTTAGTGATAAGAGGACAAGGAGAAATAATGCTTGGTGGTTTGCCATCTTCCCACTGCCACTCTTGGATATGATAAATTGTCCTGGAACTCTAGGTAGGTATATCGAGTATTGGAGCTCTGGACTAAAGGCTATTGTTTGTGTGCATGTGACCCACAAAAGAAACCTAAGAGAAGGAAGGGCAATCAGCCAGCATCATTGCTTGCTGAAATTTTACGTGATTTTTCAGTTTTTAGTGTTTACAGCTATCAAGTATGGTAAAATAATAATATCCTCTTCTTTTCTGAAAAAAATAGGGATAAAACCTGGGCAGTAGGGACAAAGCCTGGACAGAATAATATAGGATCCTCAATACAGTTTTCCTTATCTGTTTTGCCTAGACGGGGTATACATGCACAACTGTATGCTCTTGTTTTCCTTCTCTCCCTAGAGCAAAAATTTAAAGTTTTATTACACTGCTTTATCCTGAGTCTTAAAGCCAATCTATGGGCTGGAAAGATGGCTTAATGGTTAAGAATACTGACTGCTCTTCCAGAGGTCCTGAGTTTAATTCCCAGCCACCACATGGTAGCTCACAACCATCTGTAATGGAATCTGATTTTCTCTTCTGGTTTGTGTGAAGACAGAGTATATAAATGTAAGAAAGAAAGAAAGAGAGAAAGAGAGAGAGAGAGAGAGAGAGAAAGAGAAAAAGAGAGAGAGAAAGAAAGAAAGAAAGAAAGAAAGAAAGAAAGCAAACCTGTGGGGCTTCCTTATTTTATTAATGCATTCTTTTTTACCTTTTCTAGGAGCTAATTTGGTTTTTGCTGCTGTAAAAACCTTTAAAATAATAGAGTCAGATGATACTGTTCACAGTACTTGGTAGTAAATTAGTGGTTACTAAAACATTAGTAGAGCTATTAGAAAGATAACTTGCGCTTCAAATGTTCCTTTAGCTGCTTGAAATGTGACTTGAGTACATAATTTTCAAATAAATGAAGGTTACGAAGGTGACTTGGAGAGGTAGTGCATGCCAGAATTCATGAGAGTTAAGCAATTGAGTCGTTAGGAAACACTGGCTTTCCCCAAGTGCCCAGCTTTCTTTGTACACAAAACATTATCAGGAAACTCAACAAGCCAGTGGTTTCTTTACTGAAGACTTTCACCCTCAGTACAATCAGAGTGATGTCTTTAGAGTTCCAGTAGGGGACATTTGCTTTTAGTAGTAATGGAGTTTGTTCTGTCTTTGCTCAGTAACATTCTTAACTCTTGCCAGGCACGGTGCCGCACACCTGTAATCCCAGCATTCTGGGAGTTCGAGGCCAGCCTGGTCTAAAGAGCTAGTCTAGGACAGCCAGGGGTACACACAGAAACCCTGTCTTGGAGGTTGGGGGAGAGTCTTAATTCTTCTTGATCATGAATTTAGTGGTAACAATGTTCGAAAACTAATTTTTTTGGTCCGTGACAGAATTTTTTTAAAGTATCAAAGTTGTATTGTTTGGGTGGCCCTTGCTGACTTTTAACTGTCTGAATTTGTGTTTAATGCAGATGCTGATGCAGGGGAGGAGTCGCCTCCCCCCTTGCCTGAGCGAACGCCTGAGTCGTTCGTGTTAGCAGGTGAGCATGGTAAGGCTTTCTCTGCCTTGCTGATGTTAGCCTTGCAGCTAACGTGCTGAGTAATGAAAACCAAAATCTAAGTCCTAACTGACGCCGACAGCTTTTTATTACTCACTAGAAAAGTTCTTTAAGCAGTAGTTTTTACAGATGATGGCATTTGTAACAGCCATTGTAACTACTAGAATTAAGTCAAATGCAATTTCAAATATATTTGCAGTATAGTGGGTGTTTCATTCACTAAAGACAGCATATACAACTTCACTTTCGAGTGTATAAGTTAAAATTCAAGTTGGGTTGTGGATGGGCATCTTTATGAAGACAGTTTCTAAAACTTGTATGGTGTGGTTTTGTATTGACTTTAATACAAAGAAATTTCAAGGGTTAAAGACAAACTTTTAATATTGAGATTTCATTTTTCTCAGATATACCTGTGAGATCTGAATGGCATGAACCTCCAGATGAGGAATGGTCTGAACAAAGGGAATCTGAAGTGAGTTGCGTGGGGACTGCAATAGCTCTACCGTTAGCTTATTACCCTAACTTACCAGTTGCCACCATTGCTGCATGCTTTTTTGAGACAGGTTTCTCTCTATAGCCCTGGCTGTCCTAGACTTGACCTGTACACCTGGCTGGCCTCGAACTCAGGGAGATCACCCTGCCTCCGCCTCCCTGAGTGCTCCTCACCACCACCCTGCTGTTTATTCCTTTTTTTAAGGTAGGGTCTCCTGTAGTCAGACTGTCCCCAAACTCACCTTGTGCCCAAGGTTGCCCTTGAACTGCTGACCCTCCTCCTGATTAAAAGTCTATGTAAGCCTTTTTAAAAAGATATGATATATTTTAAAAAGAATTCTCTGGCTTTCATAAGACCATCTCTTCCAACTATTATTTGGACAAACTGCTTTTGAAAAATTCATAAATTAGACCATGTTTTAAATCATTTTGATTATTTGGGGGAATAAGCTCCTATACTACATTTTGTCCCCCTATCATATACAACCACACTAGATTTATTCTATATTCCTAAAACACTCCATTGTGGTAACTTGTACTAAGGGTTAGCACAGTTTGATAAAATACAGTAGGTGTTGGTAGATGACAGCTGTGTGTTCCTGTGTGCGTTAGTTGTTAGGTGGGGGTGTTGTTATGCAGAAACTTCCCGTATGGCATATACCGGTGTAACAGGAGCTGTGGGATGGAAGCGGGGCAGCAGTTGCTGCTGATGCATGGGGATTAGAGTTCCCATCCCAGGACCCTTGTAGAAATCCAGGTGTGCCCTAGCACCGTGTGGGTAGACAGCACTGATGCCTCCTGACTGCTGGCCTGTGTCCAGACTCAGTGAGACTCTGCCTCAGACAAGAAGGACAGAGCAAGGTCCCGAGGTCAGCCACAGCCCTGTGCACACACACCAACACCTTGATGGGAACTTTTTAAATAAAGCATAACAAAATCTCAAGAATAAGGAAACACCATTGCTTTCTTTGTCTTTGATATTAAAAAATATAGATAGAAGCCAGGTGCTGTGCCACACAGCTGTAATCCCAGCACTTGGGGAGGCAGAGGCAGGCAGCTCTGTGAGTTCTCTGAGGCCATCTTGGTCTATAAAGCAAGGCCAGGACAGCCAAGGCTACCCAGAGAGGCCCTGTCTCAAGGGGAAAAAAATCTCGATACAAACCAAGCATGTTGGTGCATGCCTGTAGTCCCAGCACTTTAGGGTGGAGGAAAGACGACGAGTTTGAGGATACTTTTGGCTACATAGTGACTTTGAAGCTACCCTGGCCTAAGTGAGATTCTCTTTCAAAAGTTTATTTAAAAATTAGTAAAATTTTTACTTAAATAAAATAATAAAGAGGGGATTTTTTAATACACCCTAATTTCTTGGGATATATTTCTATAATAGATTAAGTGCTCTATTTATTGCATATAAGATGAGCTTATTGTAATAGCTATTAAATGTCTTTGCAGGGCTTGATAACTTCTGGAACTGAAAAACATGGTAAGATATTAGATTAATTTTTCTTTTCTACTGTTGACTTGATTTCTCTAAAGTAGCACATATTATGCCTCATGCTCTTTGGTCAGTTCTATATATGGAGGTCTCTAGGATAACTTCTTGAGAAAGTACAGTTCTGTAATATAATTCTTCCAAACTATTTCACACACAGATATTACTGATCTCAATTTGAAAGTCATCATTTGAAAGTTATTATCAGAAGTTATGAGTTATAGGTTACTTTTTTGGTATTTTTGTATTTTTATTTATTGAAATATCTAGAAGCTATGGGTATAGTTCTGAATGATCATATTGTTAATAGATCTAAGGTCTAGGTTCATTCTCTTGCACCAAAATTAACAATTACTTAGAAGTTTACGTTTTGAGTAAATGCTGCTGACTAACCTACAAGGTGTGTCCCTAAAAGAGTCTTAGAAATCTTCTGTTGAAGGTATTTCCATTTATTCGAAAAAAAAAAACCAAACAGTAATTATACTATCAAGTTAGCAGTTTTCTATTTGATTGAGGATAAGTCAGCATGTGCCTGAAATGTATGGAGTCCTAACTCTGCAGCCCCCCAAATCAGGTATGGTGATACACACCTGAAATCCCAGGATTTGGGAGGTAGAAGCAGGAGGGTCAGAGTCAAGGCCAGCCTGTACTACACAAAACTTTGTCTGCAGTGGGAGGGAGGGAAGGGACCATTGAAGGACTTCTGCCATCATCAAATCGATGTTATTAATTTTTATGTTGGAAATTTTATCCCAGCACTTGGGAGGCTAGGTAGACAGATTCTCTGAGTTAGAGCCAGTCCAGTCTAAAAGCAAGTTCCATGACAGGCACAGCTATTTACACAGAAAAACCCTGTCTCAAAAAAAAAAAAAAAAAAAACCCCAAAAAAAAAAAAAAAGAAAAAAAAAAGCTGGAGGCAGTGGCACAAGCCTTTAATCCTAGCACTCTGGGAAGCAGAGGCAGGTTTATCCCTGAGTTCGAAGCCAGCCTAGTCTACAAATTCCAACACAGCCAAGGCTATACAGAGAAACTGTCTCAGAAAAAAGCCATACTGATAATAATAGTTACCTGTCTTAGACCAGCGGATAGCAAGCATTCCTGACACATGGTAACTGTCAAATGGTGACACTGCTGTTACTGTCACCCTGCTCATTCCCTGGACTTCCTTAAGTCTATTCCCTTCTGAAACACCTATAGTGGGGCTCTTGGTGCTACCTGCTTCTTTTGTCTGCTTCAGTTAGCGCCATCTCCTGTATTCCCTGGCTTTTTTTTTAAATAATTTATTTAATTTTATTGTATGTGCATTAGTGTGAAGGTGTTAGATCCCTTGGAATTGGGGTTACAGACAGTTGTGAGCTGCCATGTGAGTGTTGGGAATTGAACCCGGGTCCTTTGAAGGAGCAGACAGTGCTCTTAACCACTGAACCATCTCTCCAGCCCCCTCCCTGGCTTTCTAAATGTGGCTTCTAACCCTGAGTCCTGCTCCTAGATGACCTTGACTTGGCTAAGAAATTGAAGTCTTAAAGATGGCCCTTAGGACCTCACCTGCACTCATTTCATTTCTGTCTCCTGTCTTCATTGTATCTCTGTGTGACCTCATTATGAAGTTTACCATACTACGAGATGATTTATGCAGGTCTCTTACAGGCCAGCAGCTGGAGGGCTGTAACCCCCGGGTCCTGTCTGGAACTGACAGGACTTGGTATACCCTTGAGCTGAACTTTTGTTTGTTTTAGAAAATTGTTTAAATGAGGTGGGTTCCCTTGCTGCTGAGCCTGACAACGCATGTTTAATCTCTAGGACACACATGACAGAAGGAGAGGCCGACTCCTGAAAATTGTCCTCTGGCTTTCACACATGCTGTGGCATTTGCATTCTCATAAATAATAAACGTAAAAGAAACCCAAGTAGGGCATGATGATGCATGCCTGAAATTCTAGCGCTTAGGAAGCAGGCAGGAGCATCAGGAGTTAGAGGCCATCCTGGGCTATATAGCAAGACTCTCTTTCGGCAAAATGGAAAGAAAACTAAAAAGGACAGGTTAGGTTGGGCAAAGAATAATATAACAAACCTTAGGACTGTTGACTTTTCTCTAGGCTACAAGCATCTTACGGACAGGGATCACCTTTAGATTTACCCTGGGTTTCTAGAAAGGTTCTTCCCAGAGGTTGAAGGAGGCTGAGCTAGGTGCATCCCTCCAATTTGAGCTGTGTGGAGGCAGAATCTGATGCCAGCCTGGTCTGCTTACCAAGATCCCTCTTGTAGGAAAGAAGGAGGGAGAGAGGAAGAAAGTTATAGAAAAATTAATGTTAATTACTTTTTTAAAAGCAATCTTTCCATCAGTCTTTAAATGAATAGATTAACTAATTTAAACAAGAAGACTTGAAGAATTCCTATTGGCATGGAGAGTGGTAAGCCGTCCATCAACTGGAAGCTGTTTGACTATATAAGTGTCTTAAGAAACTACAGCAGACCATGCTGCGGACTGGCGAAATAAGGAGAGCATAAGAACCCCCCCTTTACAGCCTTGTACAGTATGCTGCCCAGCACGGGGCTGGTCTGGAGTGCGTGCTTGTGGTTCCAGCACTCAGGGCCAAAGCAGGAGACCTGAAGCTTCAGAACAATCTGAGCTATGTAGTGAGGCCATCTGAAAATACCTCCAAAACAAAACAAAAAAAACCCCACATGAATAAGTACCTAAAAATGCTTGGTCACCTCTCTCCGAGTCTCTAGAAATGACAGTCCGGGGTTCTTTTATTCTGTACCCTTCTTCTGACAAAGTATTGTGAATGTGATGCTGCCTTACAGGATGGTGATTAATGAGGACTGTTTTATTTTAGATGCAGGAGGCATCCACACAGAGGCTTGTACAGAATGTCCGCCTACTTTCAGGGACAAGAAAGATCAAATAGCAGAAAGTCTAACAGAAGCCACAGATATTGGTAACTTACTTCATAATTCTAAAAGCCAGGCATATTGGCACTCTTTTATCGCTTGCACCTGTCCTTCCCCATCTCCTTTGATGAATTCTGGTTAGAAGTGTATTTTCTTAGATATTAGAATGACTACATCAGATTGCTTCTTTGGTCCCTTTGCTTGGAGTATCTTTTTCCAACCCTTTACTCTGAGGTAAGGTCTGGACAACTCCCTGTGCCCTGGAAGTGCTGAGCAGCCCCAGCTAGTAGTGGACATTAAATAATAGAAATATTTGGTTATGCAGTTGTCTTTGGGGGTTTCTTAGAGCGTATGACCAAAGGGAACTCTTCTGTTTTCTCACTTGGCTAGTTAGTCATGAGTGGCTTGAGCACTTCCCTTAGGGTAGAGTGTGCTGAAGTGGTTTCTGGCCCAGGCTTCCATTCTAGGGCCAGACATTTTCCAGTTTGACAGAAATTTTCATTTCAGTAATGCCTGTCCTTCAGTTGCCTACCCTTCTGTCTTCTAGCACACTCAGTAGGCACTTCCCCTTCTTCCTCTGTGTGTAGCAGAAGGATGGATCCTGTTTTCACCTTCATTCTCTTAGTCTTTGTCTTTTTATTGAGGTATTAAGACCTTTGATATGTAGATACCAGTGACCAATGATTGTTAATTCCTATTATTTTGGTGATGGTGGTGCTGTTGCGGGGGGAGGGTCCTTTATGGTTTGCTAGTCTGAGGTTATTTATTGCCTGTGTTTTCATGGGTGTGGTTAACCTCCTTGGGTTCAGGTTTCCCTCTAGCACCTTCTATAGGGCTGAATTTGTAGATGAATATTGTTTAAATTTGACTTGATTGTTGAATGTCTCATTTTCTTCTATGGTGATTGAAAGTTTTGCTGGGTAAAATAGTTTGGCTGGAATCTAGGGTCTCTTAGAGTGTGCAAGACATCTGTTCAGGCTTTTAGAGTCTCCATTGAAAAGCTGGATGTAATTCTAATAGGTCTGCCTTTATATATTACTTGCTCTTTTTCTGAAGATGCCCTCCCACACCAAGACAGGGTTTCTGTGTGTAGCCCTGGCTGTCCTAGAAACTCACTCTGTAGACCAGGCTGGCCTCAAACTCAGAGATCTGCCTGCCTCTGCTTCTCAAGTGTGCCACCACCACCTAGCTCCCCTTGCAGCTTTTATTAATCTTACTTGTTTTGTATGTTTAGTGTTTTGTTTCTTATGTGGCAAGAGGACTTGCTTTTCTGGCCCCAGTCTACTTTGGTGTTCTGTAAGCTTCTTATACCCTTATAGGCATGTCCTTTTTGGGGAATGGGGGGGGGGGTTGTTGATTCTTTTTGTTATTGTTTGTTTGGGTTTTGTTTGTCCAGTTTTCGAGACAAGGTTTCTCTGTGTTGCCTTGGCTGTCCTGGACTGGCTTTGTAGACCAGGCTGGCCTTGAACTCAGAGATCCACCTGACTCTGCCTCCTGAGTCCTGGGATCATAGGTGTGTACCACCATGCCCAGCAGACATGTCCTTCTTTAGGTTAGGAAAATTTTCTTCTATGATTTTGCTGAAAATATTTTCTGTGTCTTTGAGCTGGGAATACTCTCCCTCCTCTATTCCTATTTCTTCATCTGTTTGTGTTTTCTTGGCTTTTTTAAAGGGATTTATTCATTTCGTCCAATTTTTGTGTGTGTTTCCCATGTTTTCTCTGAGGTATTTATTAATTTCCTCTTTAGGGACCTCTATCACCTTCATATAGTCGGGTTTAAGGTCTTTTTCTTGCGCGTCAGCTATGTTGCAGTATTCAGGGCTGGTGTGGTAGGATTCTGCCTCTGGTGGAGACATAGTACCCTGACTGTTGGTGATTGTGGTCCTGTGCTGGAGTCTAGGCATCTGTGTTTGGGGGTGATTGTAGGCTAGGGGCTGATTTCTGGGTTTGTCTTTGTTGGGTGGGTGTTTGGTTCCTTGATTTTGTTTCCTCTCTAGATTTTCAGAGAGTGATGCCTGTGTTGTGTGTTTTGTTGGCCTGCTCTGCTCTGTTTATGGGGAATGGCTGCTGGTATTGGAGCCTGGGGGAAGGACAGGCCAGGGGAAATGATCTGTGAGATCTACCAGAGGCATGGACAGGGTGAAGGGAAGCTGCAGCTGGTGTTCTGTTGCAGTGCTAGGGGGACCCTGGTAATTGGGGTTGGAGCTATGCCTGTATTCTTAATGTTTTTAAACTATTTTTGAGTGTTAATCTGATACTATGTTTTTTATTGGTTTTGACTACAGGTTTTGGTAATCGCTGTGGAAAACCTAAAGGACCAAGAGACCCACCTTCAGAATGGACATGATTCAGGGAGCTAAAAGACACTTTAAATTATACTGGAAAATTCAAGTGCCACCGAAAGCCAGATTTATAGTATTCCATCTTTAAAATGTGGGACTAACAGCAGTGTAGATTGTTACCTTAATATTTTCTGCTGGGACCATCTACCTGCCTTATACTACACTTAGGAAAAAGTATTACCTATTGTTTATTTTGTAACTTCAAGTATTACTGCCTTAATGTCTCTTAACCCTGTTACAAGCTGCTTGTAGACCTGTTAATATAGTAATACTTTTATGATAAATTGAGTTAAAGGACTACTCTTTTGCTGTTTTATCATGTATGCATTATTTTGTATATGTACAGGGCAAGTAGGTATATAATTTGATAAAGTTGAAGTCATAAAATATTATTAACAGAAGATGTAAGAATTTCTGCATGGTCTAAGTCTTTGTGTACCTTACTTGTAAATTATTTGCCCTGAAGTTTTAGAAAACAGTTTCTGAATTTTAAAATTGCTGGAATCATGCAGCCAGCATTGCAGGTTATCAGAGATCAAAGATTGTAATAATAATACATTTTGTAAATTGTAAGCAAAAAGTTATTTTTATATTATATACTGTCTAATTGTCCATCCTAATGGTTCTTGTTTTCATCTAGTCATGGAGATTCAGTAAGTGCCTTGGAACAATATTGAATTCTCTTAGCTCGTGTGTGTTACTTTAAAATTTGAATTCAACTGGGATTAGAAGACTATCAGAGTACATGTATGTTTCAGGATATTTGACCTGCCATTAAAAACAAACAGTTTTACACTGCTACATCTTGTATTGCTTTTTTTATTCTGAAGAAAAAGATACAGTTTTTTAAATTGTGTCTTTGTAAACATGTGTGGAGTTATGTACGTGTGAGTGCTGGTGCCACAGAGACCAGAGGCATACAGTCCTCCTGGAGCTGGGATCACAGGACACTGTCGGCGGTTTGATACGACTTCTGAAAACTGACCTTGGGTCCTCTAGAAGAGCGGTGTGCACGCTTCACTGTTGTACCGTCTCGCCAGCCCTTCATTCCTACCTGTTAAGTCATATTTTGTGGGTGGATGTAATCATTTAATTATGGGATGGGACAGCCTAGAAATCCTGCTTTATGTCTGGAGATGGCTACATGGAAGACGTGTAGGATAGGAGGGTCATTTGATCGCTTGAATTTACAAGTTTTAAAACTAGTCTGTGCAACATAACGAGATTTGAAAGTGAGACTAGAAAGTGCCTTCTAAAAAAAAAAACAGGCTATGACCATTCTCAGCACTGTCCTTGGTCAGTACCAAGCATCCTGTCATTCTCTTCTTCGATCCCAGAAGAACACCCAACAAGGGAGGGTCCTGCATGTCTTCCCCTCCCAGGATGGAAGCTTGCAGTCATAAACACTCAGACTAAATTTCAGTCTCAGGGATTGGATTGCACACTATGTTTTCCCTGTGCATTTTAAAGATTCGGAAACCATGAGCCTGAAGAGAGAGAGAGAGAGTAATTCATAGGGTTGTTTCAATGCTGTAATATTGCGTGGTTGTTGTTTCTGCTTTAGTTACTCATTTGTGATTTCTGTTAAGTTGGTTTTAATTTTTGCACTGGGATCTTGTGTATTCCAGACTGGGGTGAGTGTTATTATATAGCCACAGTGGGCCTTGGTTTGCTGCTGTTCCTCCTGCCTCAACCTCCCAAATGATTATGAGATTCACTCCCAGCTTTATGTTAGCATTTTAAAACAAATGGTTTTCATGATGATTTGTTAGAATATGAGTTTTTGTGTGTTTTAGGCATTAGAAAATGGTAGTCCAGGAGATACTTGACTGTTTGAAGATACAGGTATTTTAGGCTGTATCAGTGCTACAGCCCATGCTGGCAAATTACTTCTAATAAAGCTTAAACTGATCTGGACTGAAAAAAGTTTCAGGGGCAAAAGAGATAGTTGAATCAACAGAGTGCCTGTTAGGAACACAAGGACCTGAGTACGGCTCTCCATCGCTCAACATAAAAAGACAGGTGTGGGCCGGGCCTGGGGGTGCACACATTTATTCTTAGCACTTGGGAGGCAGAGGCAGGGGCATCTCTGAGTTTGCAGCCAGCCTGGTCTACCTAGCAAGTATCAAGGCGACCAGATATTCACGTCTCATCTGGTGTTAGGGAGGTGGAAACAGGAGGATTCCTGAGACTTTCTGGTTTGTCGTTCTTGCTGAATCAGTGAACCGATTTCAGGTTTGATGAGAAATTGTTCCAAAAATACAGTGAGTGGGAGACAGGAGAGATGACTTAGCAGTTAGGAGCACTAGCTGCTCTCATGGAGGATCTGCTTTCAGATCCCAGCACCCGCATGGTAGCTCAGAACCATCCAGAAATCCAGTTCCAAGGGATGACACCCACTGCTTACCTCAGAACCCGGCACGTATATTGTACATACATGCAGGCAGAACATGCAAACACATAAAATTTAAACCGTGTGAAACAGTGGAGAGGTGGAAGTAAGCTGGCCTAGTGGGTAAAGTTTGTGTCACACAAGCCCATGACCACAGTCTGCACATGCTAGACACGGTAGCATTGAGTATCTAATCCCAGCACACCTAACAGGAAGTGACAGGCACATTTCCCCGAAGTACTCAGGCAAGCTAGCTTGCTCTGTCCAGTGGTGCCAATGAGTGACTGTCCTCTGACCTCCATATGTGCTGTGGCCACACACGCCTGCACGAAAACTAATGTGGAGAGCAGTTGAGAAGATGTCCATTGTTGACCCAGCTGGCCTCATGTACGCACGTACCTGGACATATGGGAACGCATCACACAAAAATACCTTTAGCCTCTCACAGATGATGAATTGTAGGAACCTGCTATTAAAGTCTAAAAGATTGTGGGTTAGCGGTTTCTCGAAACACCATCATTGGAACGCAGCATGTATTCATATAGGCAGAATAGTCATATTAAGCATTGTAAATACACATACATGCCTACCTGGGTTCTACTGCCCAGCTCACGGACAACTATCTGGTGCTGAAAAGCCACTCCTTGGGCTTAATGAATTCTCTTATTTTGTATATATAAGACTTTTTTTCATTGTGATCAAGTTTTATGACTACAAATTCCACCATGGTGCTCTTGTGGTTATTTGGTGTTTGGAAATGGTTCAGATTATAGTGTTGAACCCTTTTCTGTTTATCTTGCAGTATGTATGTGTGTGTGTTGGAGATAAATTATAGAGTGGAAACTTCAGAGTTTAGAGTATGTCTACGTTATTGTTCTGTTGCTGTGAAGGCAACTCTTATAAAAGAAAGCGTTTACTTGAGGGCTTGCTTGCAGTTTTTGGAGAGTTCGTCCGTTAAGGGGGGAAGCAGACATGCATGGCTCTGGAGTGGTCGCTGGGAGCTTTACATCCTGATCCACAGGCAGCAAGCAGAAAGAGACCTTGGGCCTGGTATGGGCCTTTGAATCCTCCAAGCCCACCTGTGGTGACATAGCCCTTCCAACAAAGACCACCTCCTTACCCTTCTGAACCTGGAACCGGGGCATTCAAATGTGAGCCTGTGAGGGCCATTCTCATTTGGCAGACCACCACGTGCAGATACATTTCAGGTTTAAGACATAATGGTATACTGTCACGCCTGGCGGTGCAGGCCTGTAATCTTGGCACTATGGGAGGCAGGGGGAGACGGCTCTGTGTTTAAGAGTAGTCCTGTCAAACCAGATAGACATCAGAAGAGGGAAAAAACGGAACAGGACAGGAGCCTACCACAGAGGGCCGCTGAAAGACTCTACCCATCAGAGTATCGAAGCAGATGCTGAGACTCATAGCCAAACTTTGGGCAGAGTGCAGGGAATCTTATGAAAGAAGGGGGAAATAGAAAGAGCTGGAGGGGACAGGAGCTCCACAAGGAGAGCAACAGAACCAAAAATTCTGGGCACAGGGGTCTTTTCTGAGACTGATACTCCAACCAAGGACCGTGCATGAAGATAACCTAGAACCCCTGCACAGATGTAGCCCATGGCAGCTCAGTCTCCAAATAGGTTCCCTGTTTTGAAAAACAAACAAACAAAAACAACACACACACACACACACCAATACTGAGACTGTTGTAACTGAATTAATAACCCGCACTTGTAATCTCAGCCCTTGGGGAGGGAGGAGTGTTGCTGCAAAGCTTTGAAGGCAGACTGGGCTGTACCTAGTAAGACCCTGTTTCAAAAGAAACCAATTTTTTTATAGCTCGATAGGACAGGTTATGTGCTTACTACAGTGGCAAACAATAACAGGAATTAATGCATCCTGTAATCAGAAGATATCTGAAGCTGGTTTTCTGGAGATGCAGCCATAAGATGCAGCCCAGCCAGGCGTCAGGCTCTCAGCCTCCAGGGGCAGCAGGCACACACCAGCACATTCAGAGCAACCAATACCTTTAGAGGATTTCCCTGTAAAACAGCATATAACTTAGATTTGACAAGATGTGGCCCAATTACACTTTGTTGAAATACATATCTGGCCCGTGGCCTCTGAAGTTAATTTGGTTTAATGCTAAATATAAGATTAAATTAAGTTAGCTCACTGTACTGGTTTTAATAACTACCTTTAAAAGATTCATTTATATTGCTTTATGTTTGAGTGTTTTGCTGGCACATATGTCCGCGTACCATGCGAAGGCATGCCTGGGGCTTACACAGTGAAGTAGACAGCAGATCTCCTAGAATTGGTGTTACTGATGGTTGCAAGCCACCATGTGGGTGCTGAGAACCCAACCTGGGGCCTCTCTGTTTGTTTATTTATTTATTTATTTATTTATTTATTTTGAGGGAAGTGTTGTGTGTGTCTGTGTCTGTGTGTGCCATGTTTCTCCGTGTGGTTTTGGGCTACTGTGAGTGGGATTCTTGTGTTTCTATCTCAGCATGTTCATATTGCAGTACAGAAAAGTAATGACTTTTGCGTATTGACCTTGTTTCGTGTTTTGCTTTTCACTGCTGCTGCTGTTCGACTGGTTGTTGTTTGGGCCCAGGGCCTCCTGCCAGGCAAGCGCCCTTCCCACAAGGTCCCTTCCAGGTCCAGGTCTACCGGCTTCCTGTTAGAACCCTGGCAATCTTTGCATGCAGAAAGGAACATTCTGTCCAAAATGCAGGTGACCAAGCCTCTGCTTTTCCTGTCACTATTGTCCTCCTCCTGTCTTGATAGACCTTGCCTAATTGACAAATACCTCTTAACTTTTTTTTTTTTTTGAGATAGGGTTTCTCTACGTAGCCTTGGCTATCCTGGCTTCATTTTGTAGACCAGGCTGGCCTGGCACTCTAAGAGATCCACCTGCCTCTGCCTCCCTGAGTGCTGGGATCACAGGTGTGGCCTGGTTTGCAAGTTTTGTTTTTTTGTTTGTTTGTTTGAGACAAAGTTTCTTTGTGGCCTGGTGGTCCTGGAACTCACTCTGTAGACCAGGCTGGCCTCAAACTCACAGATATCTGCCTGCCTCTACCTTCTGTGTGCTGGGATCAAAGGCAAGTGCCACCACGTCTGGCTGGCCTACTTTGTATTTTAAATTATCAAAAATTCAGATTCTACCAGTACTTGGGAGGCAGGAAGAACTCTGTTTGAGGCTAGCCTGGTCTACATAATGAACTCATAACAGCAGGAACTATGTAGAGAGACCTTGTCTCAAAAAGGAAGGAAGGAAGGAAGGAAGGAAGGAAGGAAGGAAGGAAGGAAG